CTCTGTGTAGTAAATGCTGCTCCATCTGAAAGCATGTGATGATGATTTACTGCTGATTACAGAACCGGCATTACTAACAAAATGCGCATGACAATCGCATTCGATTAATCGTGCAGCCCTAACAACATATTCATATAAACCTTCTATAAACTTCTTGTTTTTTGCTGGAAGCAATTTTTGTTTAATTTAGCTTACCATACAGGTCAGGTTTACTCCGTAAATAGACCTCAGCAAAGTTTTTCCCAGGCCAAGGCAGCATAGAACCAACTATTCTGTTCTTTACCTATAAATGAACAAACAGAAGTTATTTCTTGTCTTGACAGCATATTGCTGCCATCTTTTCAATCACTTCACAAAACAATCATTCATGTGCAAGAGTAGCACTATATTTAAACAACTAAAATGAGAAAACAGCAGCAATGCATCTTGCATTCTTGCAGGATTAGAAAACCTTTGAAATGATAACAACCACTGTGGTGAGTGCTGAATCCTACAGTAAAGATGACTGACCTGATGACTGTCCACGTCAAATAATGTTTGGTAGTACTCAAACGTCCAGAAGGGCGCACTCTTTTTTTGGCCTGACAGAAGCTGTTTGGCAAAGGAACATGTATGTTGAATCAATGCTCCTTTTGAAGAAATGAAGATCTCAGATTATCGTGATCGGGTCCCACTGACCTCAGTTTTGTCATCACTGTCCTCTTCATCAAAAGCAGTTCCAGTAGCTTTTCGTTGTTCTCGAGATTTGATGGGGTCATCGATGGTCACTGTTGTGGCACCTTGATTATTTTCTGTGAATCCTTGACCATCTTCAAATTCTAGCACAACATTTTTTTTTTTTCAAAGCGCAAAAAGCAGATTCCACAATATATATATATTGTTTTATTATTGAAAGGAACAGTTGTTTAAAAATAGAGAGTAAAAAAAAATTACCAACATGTCATTCGAAACCACTATGACTTTTTTTATGACTAACAGAATTTTCATTTTTGGGTGATCTATTCCTTTCAAATAAGTTGTTAAATTTGAGAGGACTCACCTTGAAACTGCAAATGAAAATCAGTATTGGCCATCACAGATCTATGTGTTCTGTGAATGAAGGCATCAACAGAAGACAGATAAGCAGACAAGCTTTAGTTAAAGCTGTTGTAGGTTGTTAAAGGTATAGTTCACTCAAAAATTTAAATCACTAACCCTCATCACTAATCATGGTGTTCAAAATTTGTATGACCCGCTTTCTTGTGTGGAACACAGAAAGAGATATTAGGCAGAATGTGGGGGACTGATAGATTCAGTCACCATTCAGATTTACTGTATCTTCCTCCCATACAATGAATGTGAAAAATGACTGAGGCTGTCAATCATCCTAAGTTTCTTTTGAGTTCCACTGAAGAAAGTAATGGTTGAGTAAATGATAACAAAAGTTTAGTTATTGGGTGAACTATCCTTTTAAGCATTAAGTTTAACCAACCATGGCTGACCTACCACAGCAACTGAAGCGTCTGATCCCATGTATAGCAGAAGTGACGCTGTACAACCTGTTGACATTCAGACGTGCGCGGACGGCGGATATCATACATCAAACAGAAAAATGCAGTTACAACGTAGCAAATTGTGTTGTTTTAGGAATATGCAGTCTCTCAGATGATTTTACATCAATTTTTATAGCAAAACATGACCTCTAATGTTTTCGCCGTGTTAATCAACTCGCCATAGTAAAAGCTTCTCGAATGTTTCGGGATCTTAAACGTTGTTTTGAAGGTGTGCAAATGGAAAACGCGGAAATAAGAACTGATGGTGATGCGTAGCAAAATAAAAGTCTTAACTTGTCAATAAATCAAGTCTCAAGCCCTTCAAATAATTTTTTTTAAACCTGGTGTTTTTCACCTTGTGGTTCAAATATGCAGTAAATAGTAGGTAGGTAGGTAAATAAATACAATTATTAGAATGAAATAATAATAAAAGCACTGAGACCAATTTAAAAATGAAAAACAACCAAAATGAAAGTAACTAATATGGTGAAATAAAAATATGGGGGACAACGAGTAAAATACATAAGAGTTATAGCACAGGTAAAAAATTTTTTTTCAATACTACAGTTATCTGCAAAGTACGGGCATTTTAGTGTAAAGATTTCAGTTAAGACTTTTATTTTGGAATGTGCGTGAAACTCGACATAGAGGAGGGATGTTACTCCAAGAGCCCGTCGTTTTTAACTCTTTCTACATTTAACAAACTTCTCGATATTTCCGTCAGTATATCCTTGATTTTCGAACGACACCCGAATATTTCGGACACTAACCGCTTCGTTTGTGTAGAGAGCTGGTGAGGATGTATGTAAGTGAGGACTGTGGAGCTGTGTATGTCAGGGAGAAAGGAGAACTGCGGTATGTCAGTGCAGACAGGAATGATGCTCCGCAGCACAGACTCTTCACCAGAGACTTCTCCTTTCAACTCTGCACCGACACTTTACCATCCGCGAGCCACACAAACAGAAGAGACCACTTCATATTTACCTACAACAAAGAGGGGAGTCTGCGGTACACGGTGAAGTCTTTATTTGACATATCTTTACAGTTCATCGCTGATCATATCGAGCATGTGGACTCACTGGTCGGTTTTCCTGAGCAAATGGCTGATAAGTTATTCTCGGCCGCTGAAGAGAGACACAAATTCACTGCGCCTCAGACTGCACCCAGAGCACTGCAGGTCTTCTGTGAGGCCTGTGGAGAACTAGTGCTGAGATCCCTGTGTTTGAGGTAAACACAACTTATGGCTGTCTCTCAAAACCTACTAGTGATCTGCCTAAGTAGACGTTCAAAATGCTGCCTAGGTAGGCCATTTTACCCGGTATAATTTAGGAATGAGAGCATTGACATCAGTGTTATTGTCTTTGCAGGTATCTTTTGATATCCGAAAGGTTGGAAGAAATCAGACAATTTCAGAGTCTGGAGTGCCTGGACCTCTATGGATGTAGATTAGGTGACAATCATGAGGTTTTTAAATACATAACCTCTGAAGCCCTGGCTAGGTATGGACACATCATTCTGTACATTGTATATTATTAACATAATGTTTAATAATTAACATTTCAGATGGTTTATTGGGTGTACATTAGGTTTGTTTTACTTTGTGATAAAGAGCGAATTCACTTTCTTTTTCCTCCTCACATTTCCCTTTTTTCTGTAGTCTGTTTTTTCATAGGTGCAAACTGCCTTTCTGATGCAGGCCTGCAGAGACTGACTGCGCCGGTGAGGGTGATGAAGAAAGGTCTAGAAAACCTGCAGCTTTTGGAACTCTCTGTTAAGTTTATGTGTTAATATAATTAGATAAACTACTACTCAAAAGTTTGGGGTCAGTATATACATTTTTTTTATTTAGCAAGGATGCATTAAAATGTTTAAAAGTGACAGTTATAATGTTCCAAAGACTTCAATTTAAAGAGGTCATATGATGTTGCTAAAAAGAACATTATTTGGTGTAATGAAATGTGTTTATGCGGTTTAAAGTTCAAAAACCACAATTCGACGAAGGAGCGGCAACCGTCCTCTTTTGGAAGGCCAAACAAAGTAGTTTCGCTTTCACAACGAAACACAGCTCTTCACGACATGGCGGCGGCAACAATACTACAGCGAGAATAAAAGTTACGCCTTCTTTCTTTGCGTGAACATTTGGGCGGCGTTATGCAAATCTTCCCACATCGTGACGTAGACATGTGGGGGCGTGTTAGAACGAGCCGTTTTAGGTAGGCGTGGTTGACTCTTAACTTTTATAAAGAATATCTCTTTGGATTTGAGACTTTAGTCTTTGCAACTTTACAGATCTTCTTTATGCACCAAGAGCTTGTAACACTTCAAAGAGAAAGGAAAAATTTTAATCGCATCATATGACCCCTTTAAAATAAATGCTGTTCCTTTGAAATTTCTATTTATCAAGGAATCCTGAAAAAAATAAAATCATGGTTTTCACAAAAATATTAAGCAGCACAACTGTTTTCAACATGGATAATAATGTTTCTTGAGCACCAAATTAGCATATTAGTTTGATTTCTGTCGGCTCAAGACTTGGAGTAATGATGCTGAAAATTCTGCTCTTCCAACACATGAATAAAATACATTTAAAATATATTCAAATAGAAAATGGTTATTGTAATTTATAAAAATATTTTACATATTACTATTTTACTGTGTTTTTTAATCAATTAAATGCAGCCTTGGTGAGCATAAGTGACTTCTTTCAAAAACAAAAAAATGTACTGACCTCAAACTTTTGAACAGTAGTGTATCTCATTACATAAATACTTTCAGGTCAGGTGCTTTTTATCCATAACCATGTTGAATGTGATGTTTGTGCTAATTTACACACTTGTACTTTGGTTTATTTTTTTAACAGAGAATCCCATCACTGAGAAAGGTCTTGGATATCTAACATGCTTCAAAACGCTACAGAAACTGGACATATCTGGGACAAATGTGACGGTAACACAATTAAAATGGTAACATCAATGGGTATCATTAACTTTGTATGGGCTGCTTAAGTTTTTATGGAGGTCTTGTATAATATTAAAAATCTCTTTTAGGTGAATGAAAGGATTCAAAAGGTCTTTGAAAGGATTCTTCAGAAAGATGAGAATGGTCTTATCAGAGACACCTTTGAAGGAGTTTGGACACTCTGATTGTAAAACAGAAGGCTGGGCTGAACAGGTAACATAAGATTTTATGGTATCCATGATGGAGAGGTAATGTTGATGTCGTGAAGGTTTTATACTGTGGCCTCTCTGTATAAAATTTTCTCACTATTCAAATATTAATCAGGTAATAAACCAATGGGAAATTACAGCTTCAGAAGTACCAAAGAAAGACTACAAACCAAGAACAAATGCTCTCCGTTTCTGTGAGTTTATTCAATTTATCTATATGTTCACTTAATCACAAAATATTATATTACTGCTAATATTTTTTATTGTTGTAATTTTGATTATTCCCATTTTGTTTTTTAGATGGAAGAGAAAAGTTTGTCTGAGAGACATTAAACTCCTGGTCTGGGACAAGTGACACCACAAAGAAAGACAAAGTTGTGGCGATTCACTTTCATAAGATTGATCTCTGTGGCACGAGTTCAGCAGCAGAACACAACACACATTCATCAACAGTGGCAGCTGTTCAGAAGGGCAAGAAGAGGAGACTATCAACAAAGAGCAAAGTTCAGCTCCTCTGTCTAAGCGTCAGTCTCTGTCAGCAGAGGACTTAGATCTGTTAAATAGTTATTGAGTCGACAAAGACAGGTGACGTTTGCAGTTCATTCCTCTGTGAGGAGCGTGACACTGCAATACTTTTAGTTTGGATTCTTCACAATTAAAAACAAATACACTGGCTGGCAAACATGGACGTAATCATTGAGTAATTCACTTAAGGCTGGAACAGATTTTAAAACATAAAGCATCATACACCTACCAAATGGTTACAGAAATGACTCAAAATGACTGAGGATCAAACACTACCAGACTTTCAAGTCATTGTGGATGCAACAAAATGCAGAAACGTGTGCCTCAGGTAGACTTACCTTTTGTTTCGGTTCTCTCTAATGTTGGGATATCAGACTGTCTTAGTTTGAAAAGTAACAATCATCATGAAATTATTTATATTGGATTAAATATAAAATATGTATTCCTCTCAAACAATACAGAAGAATAAATAACATTTCTAATTCAATTAACTGTCTTTAAAGACCTATGTAGCCTAATTTCCTTACCTGAGGTTGTGTCCTGTTGGGTTTCACATCTAAAGTATTTATTTTAAAATATGACAATATGCAATTCTTACATCTGGTATTCATAAACATGGTCTTTAGAAGCCTATATAAATGGTCAGAAGATGGCAACTTGCCAACAACATCAGCACTTCTATCAGCACATTATATCTTTGTTGTCAGTGCTGATATGCCCACACAGACAAAGATCATGTCAGGTTGGACTAGTCCAAATGACAAAATACACACTAAAACCGTGCACAACAACAGATCTGATTTTCATCTAATTAAATATATAAAAAAACAACACATGAGGACAAGAACACTTTTTAGTAGGTTTGTTTATTAACAATATGATGACAAATCTGAGAGGTCGCAAAATATCTTCATTTACAATGCCTTTTACTGACTTTACAACTGTCTCTAATATGGCAGTTCAAGAAATGTTCACCCACTGCAGCAGAGATATCTTGTACTAAAGCATAAATCAAAAAGTGAATGTTTCATTGTGCAACACACGTTGTACCTCAAATCACAAGCTGTTATGGATCACACCGAGAACACTCAAAAACAAGTAAGAGAAACAAAAAGACTTCATCTCTACAAATGGGCAGTAAACAGAAAAACGGAGATCCTACAGAGCTTTCAATGTGATAGGTAATGCCTTTAAAGTGCCAAAACATCAACAGAATATATTCCCCACAGTCCACGCTTCTCAAATTTTAAAAAGGAGGAACAAGAAACCCACAGTCAAAGTAACAATCACAACTTTGAAAGAGAAAACCAAAATATCTATCAATTTCTCTGGATGTTAGACTGGTTAAATGTTAGACTGATCCAGATTGACCTTTGATGGAAGGGGTCCGGCTTCCTGCTCCTCCACTCCTGGAGATCTGATGATGACCAGAGAGGACTGTAGATACGGGGTCAGTTTCTGCTCCTTCATGCACTCCATATCCCCGTATATGCTTAGCTTCTGTTGAAAGGAGGAGAACATGTGGACGAGCTAGTTAAACATAACCAACTAGCCAATAA